TTTATCATGAAGCCATGCTGGATTTTGTCAAAGGCCTTTTCTGTTTCTGTTGTCATTAAGCCCATTTGTATGATTTATTACATTTGTTGGCTTAAGTAGGTTGAACCATCCATGTATCTCCAGGTTAAAACCAGCCTGAGCATTGCGGATGACCTTTTCCCCCAGTATTCTGTGTACAGCTGGCTTGATGGACATAATTCTTTTAGCCTGTTTGTGTCATGGAAGGTTTCTATTTCTGCTTCAACTATGGCATATAGTTTTGCTGGTTATGGTAATCTAGGTTGGCCTCCACAGTCTTTTAGAACTTGCAGGGGATCGCACCTGGCTCTTCTGGTTTTAAGGTTTCCATTGAGAAAAAAAATTGTTCTGATGAGTTTGCATTGTATGTGACTTGTGTTTCTTCTATCGCAGCTTTCGATACTCTTGTTTTATTCTGTATATTCAACATTTTAACTATGATATGCTATGGAGAGTGTCTTTTTTATCTCATCTATCTGGTGTTCTGTGTGCTTCTTGTATCTGTATGTGTATTGCTTTCCTGGGTTTGGGGAAGTTTTCTTTGATGATTATTGACCTGGGATTCTTCTCCTTCACTCACGCCTATGATTTGAAGATTTTGTCTTTCCACAGTGTCTCATGGTTCCTGCATATCCCTCTCCTGTGTCTCGTTTGACTTTTTCTTTCCTATTCTTTGACTGAGTGGTCTAATTCCTCCACTTTATTGTTGAGTCTTGATATTCTGTCTTCTGCTTGATCCCTTCTACTTGTAAGAGTTCCCCTGAGTTTTCTAATTGGGTTGTTGAGCTTTTCAATCCCATCTCATTTCATCTCCAGTTTCTTTGTTATTTCTATATCCTTGGTGAATTCGGTTTTCAATCCTGGATTGCTTTTGTCATTTCCTTCAACCTATATTTCTTGGGCATCACTCAGGCATTTATGCTCTTGAAGTTTGTTGAGCTATTTCTTTGTGTCATCTTTAAACTTCCTAATTCTTCAATTATGTATATGATTGTTCTTTTACGTTCCTGGTCTTAGGGGTACACCTAGGTAACTCCCGCCGGACAACATTTCTACATTTTGCAGGGGACATGCTTACTATCTTAACCTTTCATGGCGTTTGTGTTTTTGCAATGATACCTGAGCACTTGGACTTCTATCCTTGGTTGTTAAGTCTGATGCAGACACAAGAGACTGGCACTTAGGATGTGGCACCCAGCACAAACCTGGAGTCTGAGTAGGGCATAGGTAGGGTGCACCAGTCTGAGCCAGGGTCCTGGTTGTGGGCCTGGGGTATGGGGACTGAGGTAGGTGCAGGCAGAGAAGGGTCAGGTGAACTCACCCAGCTGGGTCAGTGCGCAGGATCTTTGGGCTGAGAGAGGCCAGGCGGTTGGGTGTGGTGGGCTGGAATAAGGCCAGGAGGACACATGGGCTGGGGTGGTGTACAGAATATCAGTCCTGGCCTAAGCCTCAGGCTGAAGATAGCATCCCCTTGATGTGGGACCCTGGCTAAGTCTGAGGATTGTGGAGGGTGCCAGTGGGGTAGGTTGGGTGAGCAGACCTAGTAAGCTAGGCTGAAGTACAGATGCGCTGGCCAGGCTGTACCTGGAGATTGGTTACAGCACAGGCTGAATAAGGTTAGGAAGACACAGGGCCCTGGGCTGGCGCAGAAGATCATAACTTGCTTTTAAACCAAATGCTGCATAATGCATAAGCCAAACACAAAAAGAACAGAGCATCAAAGCCTGGCCTCACACAGAGGCTGCAAGCTTCTGCCTCTGCTTCATAACGGGGTAAAGGAATGACCCTTTGTGTTTCCAGAAGAAAGGAACCCAGGGTGGATGTCTGGGAAACGCATCGTCTCCTTTATGCTGCGAACTCCTTTTCGTTAAGACTGTCCAAGACGTTTTAAATGTGATTTTTTTCAGTCTGCAGACCTTCGCTGTGGTAGTATTTTTAGTATGCTATGCTGGGAAATTCTCTAAGGCCAAGGCCCAGTTACAGATCAAAGTCTGAGAGCCAGAAGGATTGCTCCAGCTTTGTTCTGCGCTTTCGGTGAGGGCTTTACAAGGATAAGAAATAGAACACTGAGGAAGGACCAGTAAGTTCTACCTCCACTATAGGATCAGAGGTATAAATAATCCAAGAAGTATCCTGAAGGGGCTCCATCCTATCCAGCTATTAGAGACATACGGGAACCCTGGCTGAGCAGTTGTCTCCTGCCCAATTACTTGTGGGTCAGTGACACAAAAACTAAAATATTGGTGTGGGCAGTGCTCAGGGGTCAGGCTGACAAGGCTCAGAACTCAGCACTGTCTCAAACATGCAGGCACTCAGGGGCGGCGTCTTGCTTATCGAGCTAGCTCCACGCCAGGTTCAAGCTGCTAGCCTCAACACTGACCAGCGGGCATGATAAGGGAGCGCCCATGCAGAACAGGCAAGAAAAGACCAGGAAACGGGTCACAGTCACAGGTAGCAGTGGCTGGTTCAAGGAGTCAGTGACAACGGAGTATGGGGAGAGTGAGTGGGTGGGTTAGTGGTTCACCCCAGGACTTCTTCCTCGGGCCAGGGGATCAGACAGCAGCAGTGTAGGTCAGGAAGACCTCACTTCCAGAGACATACCCCCCCTCAGTAACCCTTACCAGCGAAGGAATGCTACATTATTCTGGAAGCACAGAAATTACAGAAGCACAAACTAAAACGTAACTATTCTAACACTGCTACAACTTCCTTTCCCTTCTCTACCTAGGGACAAACCAACCAAGGGCAGAGTTTGGATGTCACACATTGTTGCATACGTGATTTTTGTTTGCAAGTTACAGCGATGCCTCGAAACAGGAATTTGATTTTACGTTTCAGTCCACAAAATATAAATCAAGTCAGATGAAAAAGCCTTGGAACATAAAACAATGAATGTTTAGTAAGTTCTCTGACCATGTGGGAACCAAACTCTAATTGCATAATTGAAAGACAACAGAGAAGGTGCTGAGGCTTACAAATTAAACAGCAAATACCTAAGCCAGGCGTGGTGGTATGTATCTACAGGTTCGGCTACTCAAGGAGGCGGAGACCAGAGGATCACTTAAGCCCAAGGGTTTGAGGCCAGCCTGGACAATATGTCAATACTCTGCCCCTCCCCCCAAATAAAAACATAATAATAACAAAATGGATATGTTGAATTTTTTGAAAGAGAACTAAATGAAGCTGAAACGCAAAGATCAAAACCAGCAGGGCACAGAGCTAAAGAAATGCTGACATGATTGGAGTCACGGTCGCTTAGTAAAGCATTTGTCGAACGTAAGTGTGCCCCAATGCATGTCCTAACATGAATCAATCGGATCAGCCAGTTAGCTAATACAAGTGAATCAAGTGACCACAGGGACCGACACAGACAAGTGTACCCCAACCCAGGACCCGATTATGGGAGGAATTCTCAGTATAACCTGAGAAGAGAGAGATTTTCCCCAGTCTCATAAGCAGCATCTACAGGACAACAGCTGATGTCTTACTCGTGGCGGAGGCTGGAAGTCCTGTCTGTGTGGTCAGAGAGCAGACTCTCACCACCTTATCATGGCTACTGTAAATGGGGGGAGGGAGGAAATTAACGGGATACAGGCTGGAAAGGAAAAAAATAAAACCACCCCCATTGCACAGGCTATAATGGTCTACCTTTAAAGTTTCAAGAATCCCAGAAGTAAATAAATAAACAGACTCCCATGAGATCAGGAAAGTGACAGATCACAAAAGTAACCTAAAAAGTCATCCACATGTGCTTACAGTGGACATCTGTACGCAAGAAAATGGAGTGCTATTTACAACTGCTCCGAAGAGAAGGAACTGTGAAGATTTAGCAGAAACCAAACAGAATAGGGTCTACACAATGATTTTTTTAACAGGAGCCAAAATAAACTAAGAGATACGGCCGGCCGTGTGCATATACAGTGTATAGGGAAAAAGACTAACCACCACATGGAGTAACTTTGGGGAAATGTAGCAAGTGAGACTGGGGAAATGTAGCAAGTGAGATTTTGGGGAAACACTGTAGCAAGTGACAGGTGTCCCCTCCAGTGTGAGGACAGAACAGGCCTGCCATGATCAAGACAGTGAGAGAGAGGGCTGAGAGGGGAAACGTGCCCAGACAAGGAACTGAGAAGTATGCCCCACAAGGCCTCTAGCTGCTTTTAAGGTTTTTTTTATTTGTTTATTTTATGTATATGGGTGCTTCACTCATACGCATGTCTGTGGACTGTGTGCATTCCTGGTACCCATGGAAGCAACAGGAAGAGATTGGACCCCTTGGAATGGGAGCTATGCAAAGTTGTGAGCCTCCATGTGAATTCTGGGAATTAACCCCAGACCCTCTGCAACAAGAACAAATGCTCTAACCATTTGCAATCTCTTCAGTCGCTGCAATCCCTCCCTGCCCCAAACTTTTTTTTAAATACATACAGGGACAAAAGCAATTCAGCAGAGAAGAGAAAACTTTCTTGATAAGGGTGCTGGGGTAGTTAGACATCCATGAGTCTGAAAATGAACCTCTGTCTGGGACACACGCAGATACTGGTTGAAACTTTAAATATTTTAGGGAACTTAGAGCTGAGCAGTAAGTCCTGAGACTTCACGCTAAATAATAATCTATAAGACATGCAAACTTTATAAGGCACACAAGAGAAAATATTTGCAAAATGCATATCCAGCAAAACTCTGTATGTTTGTATCTCAAAAAAATACGTAAGTACTCAAAACTCAACATTAAAAATGCAACTACAGATGACAACTTACAGACATCTCACTAAGCTGTCCTGGTCCTCTCACACCTGATCTTGTTTTGGTCGGTGCTCACGATTCAGCAGCTATTTGGGGGCAATTGCCTTTTCTACCTAGAATGAGGGACAGTCTAATCCTTAGGTGCACCTTCCCAACTTGACAAACTGAAGTTGAGTCTATCAAAGCAGACGACACACTGTCGCGGCTAGATCACAGGAAGCAGGCATAGCAGTTACCTCAAATATTACCAGAGTATAAACCCCTGTGAGGATGGCCACTGCGATCGTCACTTGTGCTTCAACGCTTGCCCCGAGGAACTGATGGGCCAGCAAGAGAGGAACGAGGCGAGTCTGTCGGAGGGAGGCCTGGATGCTGATGGAAACAGCCTCCCTGCAAAATAAATCGAAGGTCTTGAGTTCGATCGGGTGACTAATTGGTGCACTTCTTCCGTATCCTTTCTAGCTCATTGGCATGGCCAGAGCCAGAGTCCAGGGTGTTCCACAGTGACTCAGCCCAGTGCCCAATCTCACAGACAGAGGAGCCCTAGATACAGTCTTTCTGGGACGCTGGACAAGGGCTCTTCAGCCTTTCGAAGGTGCCACTACAACAACTGGCAGAGTGGGTTTAGCCAACCGTTCCCTCCATCCTCATCAACACAGTGGAGCGCTTCACCCGCTAATGCAGAGAATCTCCAGCTGCTTGAACTTCGGTCACCAGGAGCGCTGAACAGCACCTCACATGGGAAGCCTGAGGACAGCCAAGGAAGTCTCTCGGCTGTAACTCTGGTGAACCCAGCGATGCCCGCTCCCACCCCAAGCTCACGTGCCGAACTCCTGACTCCCCTGACCTCAGAGCGTGATTTAGAGACGGTTCCTAAGGAAGACACAATGGCGAAATGAAGTCATGGGGGTTAGGCCTTAATTCAGTGAGTCCTCCTGTCCATCGGCAGAGACGAGGACACAGCCACACAGGGAAGACAAAAGCCCTCATGGTGAGCTAAACCCGTCCTCAGCCTGATGTCAGATTCCCAGTCTCGAGTTCGGAATAAATGAGATGCTTCAGCCCTCCAGGGTAGGCACCCTAACTGACTTTTGTCGTAACCACGGTGGCTATCACCCACAACCACAATGCAGGTAGAAGACAGTTGTGCTTTTAGTTAAATAAGAAGCCCAAGAAGCCCCAAATCTCCCAGGAGATTATATCCAAGACCCCCAAAGATACCAAAACCAGGATACTCAAATCTCTCGTGTAAACTGTCATAGTATTTGTGTACTATTAATAAGATATGAACATAAACTAAAACATGCCTTCACTTCAAAGTGGGTATGGAAGCCAATCCTCTGATGTCCTGGATTGGGATAGTTACAATGTCTCACGCAGACATTTGCACTTGCTGTCCACATTGAATGTGTGAGTGCCTTGTTCAAATCACATAACTCTCCTGCCACTGTGGGTGCCCAAATTTGGACTCCTACTTCTTTAAGCAAGTGATATGGTTCGGATGTGCCGTTCAAAATGTCTGGTACAGGAAACTTATATGTTGATAGGGAGGTACTTAGGTTTAGATGAGCTTCTAAGAGTGAGTCCCCGTAAATACAGCTGTGTCTCTGGAAGAAGAGACACAGACTGGCAGGCCTGCTCTGCCTTGCCATTGGATGCAGCCTAATGGCCTCACTGCACGTCAAGATGTTGGCCCTGTGCTCTCGGCCTCCTCAGCCCCAGGACAGTAGATAAATAAATCACCATTCCCTACAAATCACTGGGTCTTGGATACTCTGGTATACCAGCAGAAGACAGAGTGGAGATGGTAAGCCTCACCCAGAAAACTCGTCCTGAAACCCAAGAACCCACCTGCTCATGATCTCAAAGGTTCTGCTCACCACCACGTGCTCGCTTCTTGGACTTAAAAGGACAGTCCAGTTGTGAGTGACCTATAGAAGTCAAAATATACAGTTCTAGTAAGTCTTTGGGGAGAACCACCAGGAAACACAGGGGTATACATTCTGTACAGATACGACATTTTACAAATACTCTCAAATTACAATTGATCTAACGCTTGAATATAGTAGAGCCTGTAGGAGGCGGGGATAAGGAAGTCCAACAATACTGATTCTTGAGTGAAGTAAATCACTATAAGTTATTGGAATTATTTGAGTCTTGGGCAGTCCTTTAGTCCTCTGAGGCAACTTTTAAATGCCTCCTTAGAATTGGCTCCTACTTACAGCCAGGAGGCACAAACCTGTCCCCCAAGAAACCCCAGCAACCTGTGTCACATAGCCCACTCCCACAGAGCCGAGCTGGAGCAGCAGCTGCTGCAGACATAACTGGCCCAAGCCAACACAGCGGATGGCAGCATCCTCGAGGACCAGAGAGAAACTTCCAGTGGAGGACAGTGGTCTCCCTCACAGATGCAGAGAAGGTGAACAGAGCAACTCTAAACCAGAGGTCTCATATGTGAGAAAACAGAACTCATATTAAAAGACTTGTGCTTGCAAAGACAGTGTCTGGGGGAAGCGTTCTGTGTTTCTGGAGATGAGTGGGGGGGGCATTTGCGAAGTGCCAGCACGTTACAGAGAAACTTCTGGCAAGAATGAGGAGAAGCACTACCACTCACTTAATGTGGACAGTCAATATGCAAAGCTGAGAAGGCACCTAGACAAGGGACCTTACTTCCAGTTATCTGTAACATAGCAGGAAAACTCATAACGACCTGTGATGACAAAGTAACTTGAAGAATTTGCGACTTTCTGCCACAGAGATGATGAATGTTTGAGAAGACCCCAATGTCAACTACTCTGACTTGATTATTACACATTGTATCTATACAAACGTCGAACTATTACACTCTACCCAAGAAGTATATGTATGCATATCGTGCCAATTTAAATTTTAATCACAAAATAATGTTTAAAGGCATCAGCTTCTACCTCATGGTCTTTGGCGTAAGAAGTGAAGAGGCACAGGGTAGACATATCTGCCCCTCGCCCCACTCATTTCGGTGGGCTGTGTACCTCACGTGGGGAACTTAGTTTCTGTCCTGAGGTCATTCTATGATTTAGAATGCTAGCATTGTACAGGCCAGTGGCAATTACCATCCTTGGTTATAATTTGGACTTTTGTCCCGTGGACTACAATCTGCAGAGCACGAAAATGTAATAAGAGGTACAGCCTTGCGAGTAAGCGGGGCTTCCTTGCAATGGTTGGTTACCTCAGGGAAAACCCCTGAGCACAGGGAAATCTTCCATGCAGGTGTTCCCGCGGGTGTCCAGTGGGGTCATTGACACCAGGACTTTTGACGCACAGGTTCCAGTCGCTACTGGGTCTCCTAGTGCACGCAGGTACATTTTCAGAATGGGACTTTGAAGGCAAGCTCTGCACGGAGCCCGCGGACACACGGCTCAGGAACGCATGTGCTTAGCAATGCCACAAACACGAGGCATCTGTGGCACCCACCTGTCCTCTGTGCTGTCAGGTGAGTCCCAAATTGGTTTGCATTTTACAGCAAAAAAAAAAAAAACTGCCGACATCCACGATGCTTCTCTGAATAAGCTAGTCAAAATGGTTATTGCATGAAAAACTTGCAGGTGCGACTCGACTGTAGCGTCGCGGGGGAAATAATTTCAGCGACACAGCGGCAGAAGAGCATCAGCGACTCCACTGACCATGAAGTCACTGCCTTTTGGCTTCCATAAAACCCATTCATTGGGAAACCCAATTTACAATGAGGCTGTAATGAGATTTTACAGATCCTTTCAAATAAGTGTAACCTGTTGTGGTCGCCGCCACCTGCTGCCCGTTGGGTCGGCTTGGGTCACCACCACCACAATGTGGTCGTCTTTCCTTGTCCCAGTTGGTCCAGCAGCCATCAGGGGCCCTGCCAGGTCCAGCTGAAGCATTACGGAGTCCGCGTGGCCACCCAGGCTCACAGCTGAGGGTGTGTCAAGGCAAACCACAGAGCCAGGAAGAAAAACACCTGCTATTTCATCCCCCCACCCCACCCCCCAACAACACCCTGTCCAAGACACGCCCCTTCCTAGGAGAGCTCACAAAGCAACATGCATCCAGCCATTGGCTCCGTCCCCTGTACCGGCGCCCGCTTACCACCCCAAGCCCTCACCACTACACACACAACTGGATTCATACGGCTCCTTCACGTGTAACGTCTGCTCTCTTGAGTCCTGGGTGACATCCACGCAGTACGCACGGCCCTTCTCCTCGCTTGCACAGTTTACAGCCAGCATAAAATTCCCACCCACGCTCAGGAGCCCATAGAAGGCCGGATTCTCTCACGAAGGAACCAACCCATACCCACATCTAAGTCACAGGGTATCAAATCCCCAGGTATAAGACGGAAGACCGCAGTGAGAATCAAAAGCCTTCTGAAACTGGCAAAACAAAACAAAAGTCAGTGGTCCACAGCAAGTAAGAGTGTTGAAGGTGGCCAAGCTCACGGTCAGCCATGCCTGTAAGGGAAAACGGACCCCTCCCATCTCAATTCTTCCCACCTGCCCTTCCCCTTAGCTCCTACACCCCTGCCTGTGTCTTGTGCAAACACGGGAGTCCATGTTCCTCAGCTGTGTCTCGATTCAGAACCTCCCTCCTCCGCTGCCAGGCCCTAGCAGCATGGAGTGTGTCCGCGTTAGTAGACTGTACGGGAATGGGCAGAGGCGCGTTTGAAGCAGGTCTTCAGAAAGAGCTTGCCGGGTCAGCGGCCAGTCCTTGGCTCTGCCTCTAGTCCCTAGAAATGCAGTTGGTTTATTGGAGGCACAGTACCTATGGGGTTTCTTCTGAGAGTTAGGGAGAGTCGTCAGTAAACGGCTCACTTTCTTTTTCATTGTTTTTTTTTTAATTTTCAAAACATACCGTTTAAAAAAAAAACACCTGGTAGAGGAAATGTTTGTTGAACCGAGTGATCTGTGTGACCGCAGCTCCACACTGCTGGGCACTTGGGTTTAGAAGGGATCAAATGGGAAACGGAAGTCACACATGGAGCAAAATTTACAAGAGAAAGGGTGCAAGAGACCCTGTTGCTCTGCCAGCCTGAAACTGTCCCTGTCCTGGTCCTTCCCCCTAAGCTGACTTAGAAGAGACAGCTTTACTAGAAAAGAAACGATAAAGGTCTTGAAGACGTCAGAAAGCAGAACAGTGCCACCTAGAGGCAAACCTCAGAAGAGCAGCGGGTGTCTCTCCAGTATTTGAGCGTTTATCTACAACACAGTATAAAAAAAAAGCTTTTGTTCTCGATATTCTTCTTCTACATGTGGACAAACGCCTGATAAGAAGAAACTGGAGAGCATAAAAATTTATTCTCAGTATCAGTTTGAAAAGATCTAGTCTTCCGCGGTGGGGAAGGCATGGCCGTTGCAGGCAGAGCATCCTGGAAGGGAGGCTGGGACAGCAAGGCTGGCCTGTAACCCTCAAGGCCCACTCCACTGACCCACGCCAATCAAAGATTCCACAGCCTCCCCCAAACGGTGCGTGAGTCTTGGTGGGGCCTAACGCACTAGCGGGGAGGCAACATTGAAACACCCTATAGTTTGCCATTCAGGTAGAGAACACAAAAAAAGTGACAGGGACAGCTGGGTGTGGCCGCCCACACCCAACACTCAGAAGGCGGAGGCAGGCAGATCTCAGTGAGTTCGAGGCCGACCTAAGTCTACAAAGTAGGTTCCAGGGCAGCCAAGACAGTTGCACAGAGAAACCCTGCATCAGATAGATTAGATAAATATAGATAGATAGACAGACAGACAGACAGACAGACAGTGCATTTCCCAATGCACACCAACCCGAAGCTTGGCATTGAGCTAGAATGACTTCCACACTTGGCCAGTGCAAGCCTCGGGGTTGAGCCCTACCCTGCAACTCTCTTTAACCTAAGTCCTCCAGCCACAGTCCAGATTTCTCTCTGCCTGGGGCACCCATCCTCAATGACCCACCCACACCCACACACACACACACACACACACACACACACACCCACACACACACACACACACACACACACACACACACACACACGTCTGCAGAACTTGACAGTATGCTTTGTTCTCTGAAACACAGCCAAGGGCCGGGTCCGCACCCACCACGCCTCCCTGAATCTGCTGTACTCTGTGCTTATTGACAGCGGCCTGAAACTTGAGGTTTCTCTCCCTACCAGGCGCAGCTCTTCAAGCAACAGAACGCCTTCTTACTCTTTCTTTCTCTGCTTTAACTTCTCTGGAGAACAATCCCTAGACGGTACACGGTCACCAGACAACAGTTAGTGTATGGCATCATCCTTCAAGTCCTCTCCATCTAGACAAGAGTCAGACAAGGGCACGGAGAAGACAAAAAGTAATAATAATCCCTCCATTTTCTGATGCCTCAGCCACATTCTTCCTGTCTTGCCATTTGCTTGAATTTCAGCTTCCCCTGTCATTCAAGACCTAACTAAACATCCCCTCGGAGTCCCGAGACTCATCCTCAGAGGTCTCGGGGGCGGCCTGTAGCTCCTCATCTCCCGCTGTCCCTTCGAGGGCAGGGCCCTCCTCTTCCACTCCGGGGCTAGCTGTCCCAAAGTCGGGGACCTGGATTTGTAGCAGGGAGGAAGACATGAGAAGAAGCTTTAGAAGGGCAGGCAGCAGTCTCGAAGAAAAGCCTTTGCTGACACCCCCCCCCTGTCGAGTCCCCAAAGGCTTACCTCCCTCTTTCCCATGGAGCCCTTAAACATCAGGCTCCGCGTTACCACGCCCAGGTTCCCTGCTTGCTTAAGATTTGGCCCCTGTTTTGCCCTGGGCCTTGACTTCGGTCTCTTCCCTGGCCTGCAAGCTGTCCTCGTGACACCGGACCCCACCCTGAGGGTTCTGTCTTCCTTTGCCATAGACACTTCGAGGGTCATTTGCCTGGATTACAAGGTTTCCAGGTATTCGGTTAATTATTGTCCCTGTGTAGTCCTGTAAGGGGGTGGGGGGTTCTGCAAGAAATTAACATTGGGAATGGTGGGCTGAGTGAAACTGAGTGCCCTCCCCCAATACATCAGACACCATCCATCCAACCGCGGAGTGCAGGTGGAAAAGGTCCCCGAGGGAGGGTTTGGTCTCTCTGCTCACTCGTGGGCCAGATCTTCATCTCCCGCTCCAGGCTGGGACCTTCAGTCTTAGACTGGGTCATACGCCACCACCCCCAGATGCCCGGGCCTCTGAGTTACGCTTGGACTTACAGGTGGATGTCTCAGTATTCACAATCATGTGAATGCCTTAAAATATATATGTGTGTGTATGTATATCGAGATATATATATACTTGTTTTGTATATCTATAACTGTATATGCATATATGCCTATATGTGTGTATATATGTATATAGATATATACTTTTTATACCTATAGCTGTATATATACATATATGCATGTGCGTGCGTGCGTGCGCGTGCGTGCGTGTGTGTGTGTGTGTGTGTGTGTGTGTGTGTGTGTTCTATCTGTGTTTCGTTAGTCTAATTTATGGGGCCCTATATTTGGAGTCCCTAAGAGGGCAGTGGGGGAAATTGTTTTCATTCCCTACACCACCTCCTATATATTCACTGATAGCTCTGGCTGCTGCTGAAGAAGAGGGGCAGAAGAGAGCGTGGAAAGGGAGAGGTAGAAAGAGAAAGGATGAGGTGCTGAGAAAAGGGGGGAGAAGGGAAGAAAGAAGGAGGAGAGGAAACAAAGAAAAGAAAGCGGGAGGGAGCGAGGGAGGGACGGACAGACGGACGGACGGACGGACGGACGGAAGAACAAATCTAGAAACCTGTAGGTACAGGGTCACTGGCCTCCGCTCCTTTACATAATGGCCGGGGAGCCTTTGCGGTCCTCTCCCGTAGCAAGCACAGACGACAATTCAGGGACAAAGAACTTCAGGTGCCTGCAATTACAGGTTTCTAAAATAAACCCTGCAATTACTGAGCCTGACACAGCCTGACTGCTGCCACGAGGAGACACAGATGTTCGCAAGGAAGACATAGCCTTGTTATTCCGCAACCGAGGACCTCTCTATCCGAACGTCTTTTCTGTCACCGGGCGCACATAGCTCCCCCCACCCCCCACCCCCGTGCCTCTGGCCTCGGCTCCAACCAGGAAGGCTCTGGCAAAGGTCAAGAAAGGAGACTACCCGGGCTGTGCTTAATTCTCTTTTTTCTGAGAACTGCTCTGTTAATCCCCCGTTTGCTCAAAGGTCCCCACACTTTGTCTGTGTCTTTGTTTTGGTGTTCTAAGACAGGGTCTCACTGTGGAGCACGTTTTCATCTCCTGCCTCAGCTTCCCAAACGCTTAGATCACAGTCATGCTTCGCCAACATCCTAGACCCGAAGGAAAAAAAAACTAATTAAAAAAAAAAATAAGCTAGTGTCATCAAGCACGCTCTGTCTGCCAGTTCAGACAGTATGGCCCTGGCTTTGACCTATGTATTGAATGAACCCTGTGCCTTATCTCGAAGAGCATAATTGTACCAAGAAAGCCAGATAACCCTGGTTAACAGCTTCCCCTACAATAGCTCTGTAAATCCCCCATTTGCTCAAATAGAACTTTGAGTTGTTGTCTCTGGAAAAAAAATGTTTAATTGATATAAGTGAAACTTGGGAACAGGAGCCGAAAGCAAATCACTCACGGAAGCATATATAGGAATGCAACATGAAAGCTCAAACCCATATGAAAGCTATGGAAGACTTGTGTTCAGGGCAAAGGCTCCTTGAGCTAGGGGCCTCTGTACACCTTCTGCAGTATACAAATCCCACGTTGACTTCTACTTCCCCACTGGGTACGGGTCCAAGAGGATCACAGGCCGGCAGCATTCACAGACCCTCGCCGAGCATTTCTAACCTAGTGTCTCGAGAGAGGAGCCACAGGAGATCTACGCTGACCGTGGACTTCTGAGGAGCCCATGTGAAATTGCCTCCCATAGAGTAATAATTGTCCTAAACCCCCCCCCCGGGACCCTAGCCATCTTGCCTGGCTGCCCCCATGCCCCCATCTCCTTCTGTCTTTTCCTTCCACCCAGAAAATAGGAAATGAGCTTCCCTGTTAACCTGTGTTGCCCAGAAGACATGGGCCACTGAGCCAGACAGGTCATGTGCCCCCTGGTGGAGACTAGCATGTGTGACTGTCAGTGAAGAGCTTTGTAGGGCCGCTTTAGAATAAACATCATGGTGGCAGGGCAATGGGGGCTTTACCTGTTGGTATCTAGTCTCCTCCTAAACTGCTGTGATTACGTAGGATGCCTATGTGATGATGATTTTGCTGCTGGTCCTCACAGGGTTCCTGGCACCGCACACACCCATCAGCAGCTTTCTGACACCTCTCCTCCCTCTGTGAGTTCTCACTGAAGACACAGCTCAGCAACACTGCAGGTCCCTAGAAGGTTTAAAGCCTCTGCTACAAAGTTACCCCAGTGGTGGGAGAGCAGCATCCTGGGGGCCAGGATGAAGCCAGTGCCTTGGGGAGAAAAGCAAAAGAAGCCAGGGGGTGGGAGCAAAAGAAGCCAGGAAGCATGGTGGGGGGGTGGGGAGTCTTGGATTTTTCTCAACCAAGGAAGCAGAAGAGAGAGAGAGAGACAGAGGGGCTGCCAAAATCCTAGATCTTCAGCAATCGCAAGGGGAAGTGATTCCTCAACTGAAATTGAAACCCGGGCACCCCTTTCCCATAATGAAGAAGGTACAACGATGTCAGAAAAGGCTCGGTCGGCCATCAGAGCAACCCTGCAGTGAAACTCGGGAAAACGGAGAGAGCCTCCTGCGCAAGGACTTGGAAGGTAAGCTACACGGATGACAAGTGGGTGGGGGAATGTCCTTCTGCATGCTGTGAGTACACGGTTTCTCGTATTGGTTTCATACAATGCTGATTGGCCAGTAGCCAGGCAGGAAGCATAGGCTGGGCTGCCAGGCTAGCAGAATGCTGAGAAGAGGAAGGCAGTGAGTAGGTCCGGAGGCTCATGCCAAGTAGCTACTGAGAAGACAGGACACTGGGCGTCCTCCAGTAAGATAAGACCATGTAGAGATACTTAGATTAATAGGGCTGGGTTGATAACTAAGAGAGAGCCAGACAGTAAGAAGCCTAAGTCATTGACCAAACAGTTTGTAACTAATATAAGCCTCTGTGTGTTTATTTGGGATTAAATGGCTGCGGGACCAGGTAGAATAAGAATCTCCTTCTACAACAAATGCAAAAGTGACCCCATTTTATACAGTGTAAGCATAATAAATACTGGAATTTCACTTTCTAGGTGCATTAGTTCCTTCCATTTTTTTAAATTAAAATTCTCAGAGAAACAAACACATCTTTTAAACCGTCATTTCAAACAGTGATGGGGAAGTCCTGTGTATATGTCAATAAAGCACTGCTGGCCAATAGGGAAGCAAGATAGGTGGGACTAGGAGTCCAGGAGGACTCTGGGTAGGAGAAACACAGGGAGTCAAGATGTAACGCCATAAGGATAAGAAGCCTGGAAACTTTGCTCTGGTAAGAGAAATACTTAGATTAACAATCATGGGATAAATACTTAAGTCAGAGCTAGCCAGTAAGGAACAAGCAAAGGCCAACAGCTTCATAATTAATACAGCGTCTTATGTGTTATTTGGGGACTACAACGCGGCAGAGCCCAGGCGACTGGTGGGGAAAAACCAAAGCAGCTGACAAGGAAAAGGCTTCTCTTTACAAAACAGCATTCTAAAGTGCCTGGGAATAAACCCAACCAAGGAGGTAAAAGACCTTTGCTGTGAAAAATTTGAGCTGAAGGAAAAATAAATTAAATCTGTGCTTGTGGACTGGCAAAATTCATGTGGGAAATGATTGTATTGCTAAAAGTGATCTGCAGATCCATACAATCCCCATCAAAAACCCAGTGACGTCCTTCACAGAACTAGAGAAAAAAAAAGCCTCAAATTTCATATGAAACACAGAAGACCCTGAGTGCCCCAAGTCTAGCAAAAAGAATGATGCTAGCAGTATTGCAAAACCTGAACTCAAACTACACCTCAGAGCCATAGTGACAAAAGTGTGTGCAATCGGCACCAAAAAAATAATTTTAAGAAATACCAAAACTAAGAGGACACGTAGGGACCCCGCCCCTGCATGAACCTGGGCCCCATTCTTCTAGGCCCTGGTGAATCCCAGTTAATGAAGTTTCTCCCGTTGATTGGGCAGATCTGTGGGATCACGTATAAGACTCCATGAGCTGAAAATGGGAACACACTGGGGTCCCTCAGCCATGTGCCCAACCCCTCAGTCTTCCTGTTTCCTCCCAAGCAGCAAACCTACCGTCTCTTCCTCAGGAGACTATCTCCTGAAGGTAATCTAAAAACTGATGAAGATGCTCTTACTTCCACAGTGTCTCAAAATCGCCCGCCCCAAAGCACCAACATATCTAGGTCCTACTTGTCCCCTGTTTTACCCCCCAACACTTGGAATTGTGCCCCCTCTTATCTTTCTGTTCCTCTTTCTCTTTATTTGCAGGCTTCTCTCCGGAGCATTCCTTGTCTGGCTACACAAGTCCCCCCATAGTAAGGGGCCCCCTGGTCCAAGGCACCACTCACCAAGTCGATAGGAACCACCTGTACTGCAATGCTAAAAGCACAGTTGAGCAGGGCCATAAGACCTTTGAGAACCCTGGATGCCCCTGCCCACCAGGTGTGTTCTTAAGAAACAGTACTCTGTCTGTGCTTGGCCCTCTTTGACGGATGTCATAGTTTCTGAATGGCTTTGCTTTGCCGAGCTGCAGGGAGGGGTAACTGCTACCCCCACGTGTACTTTGGATACAGTAGTTTTCCAGCGGTGACACGGCCAACAGCTGCCAGAACTTTTCTTGATCCGGATACAGGCTGAATAAAATCTGTAACCATTGAAGGCATTTAATTATATATTTATAACATGAGAACCATAGGATTTATATCATCTTGGCTACTGTTAAAAACAGAGGTGTGATTTATACATACAAACTTCACCAGCCCACCCTAATAATAGCATTAGAGCATTAAAAAATGCTTTTATTCTTTGTCCTGTGTTAGCTACAATGAGTCTTCATTATTGATGTTTTCCCGTTAAGGATTCACACTTCCAGTTTTTGTTTCAACAGATCCTAAATACCCAGCCACAAATTAAACTGTTGAAAGTCTATGTGAGTCATTTCTCATTCAGGAGAGCAGAGAAATAAACCTCAGTGACCATTGTTAACATGTTTGTGGAAACTGCAAAGAACATTATTAATTAAATTAAAGCGATTAAAGAAATGAATAGTAAGATGCCACACGACAGACGTTCAAAGCAATTTCTCAAATTCTTCCAGATGTGTCTACAAATGAAAAATAAGTTCATTTCCCAAATTGAAAAGCCTGAAGCTTAAATATTGAGCTCAAGTTATCTTTGAGGCCTGAGGGAAAGTTGGTGAGCCCTGACCCCCTCCTCTGATATTGCAGTAACCCCTCAGTCTCTTCTCAGCAGAGGCTTCAGCACCACAGACTGTGTGAGGAGAAACACGGGAGTATCAGTAGTCGAAACATAATTAAACTGTGAGGTTTCCAGAGTTCAAGGCAGTTGTTTCTGTTTCGTGGTGTGGGGTTGTCTGATTCTGGGCCACTAAGCCACTCCCTGACAGATTTCAGAACTGACTGTGCTCAACTCAGGCAGAAGTTAATGAGACACACCATTTTTACTGGCTACATGTTACAGAGAGACAGACTCCCGCCTACACACGGTGCCCACCTCGTGCTGCTAAGGGCAGGCTTCCCACACCAGCCCTCAGCCTGCCATGTCTATGCATGCCCTGCATGGTCTTCAGAAACTCGGGCAGTCAGGGCCAACAACAGGAGGTCCTGGGCCTCAGGCCCAGGAACTCAGGGAGTCAGTGCTAACAGGAGGTCCCAGGCCTCAGGTCCAGGAACTCAGGGAGTCAGTGCTAACAGGAGTTCCCAGCCTCAGGTCCAGGAACTCAGAGAGTCAGTGCTAACAGGGGGTCCCAGGCCTCAGGTCCAGGAACTCAGGGAGTCAGTGCTAACAGGAGGTCCCAGGCCTCAGGTCCAGAAACTCAGGGAGTTAGTGAGTGCTAACAGGAGGTCCCAGGCCTCAGGTCCAGAAAATCAGGGAGTCAATGCTAACAGGGGGTCCCAGGCCTCAGGTCCAGAAACTCAGAGAGTCAGTCAATACTAACAGGGGGTCCCAGGCCTCAGGTCCAGGAACTCAGGGAGTCAGTGACTGCTAACAGGAGGTCCCGGGACTCAGGTCCAGAAACTCAGGGAGTCAGTGCTAACAGGGGGTCCCGGGACTCAGGTCCAGAAACTCAGGGAGTCAGTGCTAACAGGGGGTCCCGGGACTCAGGTCCAGAAACTCAGAGAGTCAGTCAATACTAACAGGGGGTCCCAGGCCTCAGGTCCAGGAACTCAGGGAGTCAGTGCTAACAGGGGGTCCCGGGACTCAGGTCCAGGAACTCAGGGAGTCAGTGCTAACAGGGGGTCCCAGGCCTCAGGTCCAGAAACTCAGAGAGTCAGTCAGTGCCAACAGGGGGTCCCGGGACTCAGGTCCAGAAACTCAGGGAGTCAGTGCTAACAGGGGGTCCCGGGACTCAGGTCCAGAAACTCAGAGAGTCAGTCAATACTAACAGGGGGTCCCAGGCCTCAGGTCCAGGAACTCAGGGAGTCAGTGCTAACAGGGGGTCCCGGGACTCAGGTCCAGGAACTCAGGGAGTCAGTGCTAACAGGGGGTCCCAGGCCTCAGGTCCAGAAACTCAGAGAGTCAGTCAGTGCTAACAGGGGGTCCCGGGACTCAGGTCCAGAAACTCAGGGAGTCAGTGCTAACAGGGGGTCCCAGGACTCAGGTCCAGAAACTCAGAGAGTCAGTCAATACTAACAGGGGTCCCAGGCCTCAGGTCCAGGAACTCAGGGAGTCAGTGCTAACAGGGGGTCCCAGGACTCAGGTCCAGGAACTCAGGGAGTCAGTGCTAACAGGGGGTCCCAGGCCTCAGGTCCAGAAACTCAGAGAGTCAGTCAGTGCCAACAGGGGGTCCCGGGACTCAGGTCCAGAAACTCAGGGAGTCAGTCAGTGCTAACAGGGGGTCCCAGGCCTCAGGTCCAGGAACCCAGGGAGTCAGTGCTAACAGGGGGTCCCAGGCCTCAGGTCCAGAAACTCAGGGAGTCAGTGAGTGCTAACAGGGGGTCCCGGGACTCAGGTCCAGAAACTCAGGGAGTCAGTGCTAACAGGGGGTCCCGGGACTCAGGTCCAGAAACTCAGGGAGTCAGTGCTAACAGGGGGTCCTGGGCCTCAGGTCCAGAAACTCAGGGAGTCAGTGAGTGCTAACAGGGGGTCCCGGGACTCAGGTCCAGAAACTCAGGGAGTCAGTGCTAACAGGGGGTCCCGGGACTCAGGTCCAGAAACTCAGAGAGTCAGTCAATACTAACAGGGGGTCCCAGGCCTCAGGTCCAGGAACTCAGGGAGTCAGTGCTAACAGGGGGTCCCGGGACTCAGGTCCAGGAACTCAGGGAGTCAGTGCTAACAGGGGGTCCCAGGCCTCAGGTCCAGAAACTCAGAGAGTCAGTCAGTGCCAACAGGGGGTCCCGGGACTCAGGTCCAGAAACTCAGGGAGTCAGTGCTAACAGGGGGTCCCGGGACTCAGGTCCAGAAACTCAGGGAGTCAGTGCTAACAGGGGGTCCCGGGACTCAGGTCCAGAAACTCAGGGAGTCAGTGAGTGCTAACAGGGGGTCCCGGGCCTCAGGTCCAGGAACTCAGGGAGTCAGTGAGTGCTAACAGGGGGTCCCAGGACTCAGGTCCAGGAACTCAGGGAGTCAGTGCTAACAGGGGGTCCCGGGCCTCAGGTCCTTCTGCCATCCATCCCAAAGCACACAAGGGCTGCATCCACCCAGGAAGGCCCCCAGTACCCACAGTGGTCCTCTATCGGTCATGGATGGCACGGGTACTCACAGAGCACACTACCACAAAAGCAAACAAGCCCGTCACCTTCATCCACCGCACACAGCACCTGCAAGAGAGCAGAGGCGTCGTGAGCCGCGCACAGTGGCCGCGTCTGTTTGGTACACAGAGGAAGCAGGAGGGTCTATGATGGGCGGCTCGTTACTCTGTTCACTGGTTAAGTTTTATTCTGGAAATTCGAAAACGGTAAAATTTCGGTCTTGCATTCTCTTGGGCCTAGTGAACCTGACAAATAGCCATTTCACGTTTCCAAATTCCGTTTGAACAGCTCCTGCTTAAGTAGGAATCTTTAAAGTATGAAGTATGACTGAGGTATCCTAGGTGCAATTTTTTGTGGTTGTTGTTGTTTTACATAGCTGACATACAGCTGACAACTCAGAATAAAAGGTTTCTTGCAAGTGCCCGTGCTGCTCATGCCTGATGCTACCTAGACTTGGAGTTAGCCACTCCACAGGAACTGTCGGTGTAACTCATGCTTGCAGAGAGCCCCTGCCTATCCTGGTGCTTTTGGTTGTGGAGAAGGCCTTTCTGAGAACTTCTTAAGGAAACTGACACTCCCACAACAGCATGTGAGGTGAGCGAAAACAAACTTGGAAACCAAAACCATTTTATTATAGTCTCTGCCCAGAGGAGCTCCTTGCCCGCCAGTGTGTGGAGCCAGGGGACGTTAAGGAAGCGCAACACTGAAGTTGACAGGACAGGACAATCCAGAGGTTCCTCCATCGTGTAGTCTTGCTGAGGCCGTTTCGAATTGAACTAGCATCTGACCTCCTCGATGGAGAATCCCACAGAAAATTACCCAGCTCTGTTCCAGGAACCCAAGGTCGGGAAGTGCGAGCTAGCTTATTACCTTAGCCGGTTTCTGTAAGAACCCCCTGCAGCTAAGAGCTTAGCTTAGCTTCTGTGGAACTGCCAGGTAATAAGCCTTTCCCCACTCACTCATTTATCTCCCGACAGCGTTATCACCAAAGGGTGAACCAGTTGCATTGAGTTGCTGTGCTACAAAGAGCAGCTTGAAGCAACGGCCCGATGAATCAATGGCGCACAAACCACGGAACGTAAAGTTGTCTCACTGTGAGACAGGGACAGGGTTTAACCCCACCTCAAACGACCCCTACAGCCCGATCTCCACACATGTAATTTCAGGATGCCGATACTTTCAGAACAGACCCATGAGCCAAGCATCTGTTATGCCTAGAAGGGTTGCTGACAGCAGTTACAGCGGAGGAGACAGGTTAGAAAGTGACAGCCCGTGGTCAACGCAAAAGGATCCCAGTCGCTAGCCCTCTGCGTTACTGCCACAAGGGTTGGGAGAATCACCGGGGTGACTTGGTAATGACTTGGCAGGTGGGTTTCTGTGAGCATAGATGAAACACTGAGGCCCGGAGCTGGATGCGTCAACCTTTCCAGTGTCTTCAGAAGAGACTAATCCACAAACGTAGTGGCGCAATACCAATACTGGACAGTGTGAGTGTGGTGGCCCCTTTTCCACTCATCTTGGATACACAGGAAATCGTCTTTGCGTAAGTCCACAGAAAGCAATGGCGCGGAGGCATGCCGTGTCACAGGAGATAACTGCACAGCCACACACAGCCCCGTCATAGTCACTCAGCCACTTCAAGGCTTAATTAGGGGCTTTAGGTCCCAAGTCTTGGTCTTCCCTTGGAGAAGGGCTTTCTCCAAATAAATGCGTACAAAGAAGGAAGGCCAGCGGACAAACTAAAATAAGAGCACTGTGATGTGAGCAGCTCCAGAGGCCAGAAGATCCTCTTAGCCCTCCCATGCACTTTCCTCCATCCACGCCCACCGAATTCGGCAAGACAGCAAACTCCAGAACACCACAGGGATCCCTAAACCAAGGATCCTGTTTGTCAAGAAGAGGCCAACCTCACAAACAAGAGTGATGAACAGGAGATGTAGACAACTCAAGTTTTTCCATCGGGCTTCCTTGTGACTTGGTCAGCACCTTGCTGACTTTGCAGAGCTGACCTATGTGTCTCCTGTGGCCTGGGGAGAGGACAGATAATGCTGAAGAAAAAGTGTAGCCTAGCTAAACAGGAAAATCTCGTCCTCCTCTAAACCCTAGATGTTTGGAACCTTTGGAAGTACGGGCAAGGCCTCGGGGCAAACACAGCCAAGGGCAGCCACTTACCCACTGCCAGAGACGTCTCCCCCACATCCACCTACCCCAGTCTGGAGACCTGAACTCTGAGGTGGACACTGCTGGCAAGGTCTCCCTTCTCTGTGGAGGCCAACGAAGACATATCAGCAACCTCCTTGCCCAGTACGCATCTTTGCTCCCAGGCAGTCAGGCCATTTTCCCAAGAATCTTCGGTGGCTATGAACTCTGGGTGACGAGCAGGCGTGAACTGTGACCTGGAAAAGAAAAGAAAAGAAAAAAAATATGTTTATATTTCCTGAAACGGTAGCTCCCTCGAAAAGAAGATTTCTTCTCGGCTGTGATGGAATCAGTGCCGGTCTTTAAGGGAAGCTGTGGTACTTAATACTCATCGTTGGTATTACCAAAGAGATGTCTCTGAGTACGTCTGCGAGAGAAGGTCTCGTCTGGGTTGATTAAGCTGGGAAGAGCCACCCAAATGCGGGCAGCACCATTCAACGGAATGGAATCCCCCACTAAATACAAAGGAGAATGCCGACCGAGTCCAGCATCCGCCTCTTTCGACTGCGGGTGAACATGACCAGCTGCCTCCCATCCCGGTCATCCTGACCTTACCACCATGACGGACTGTATTGTGAGGCAAAATGAACCCTCTCTTACTTAAGTCGTTTTTTGTCCAGTGTTCTGCCGCAGCAATGGGGCAGGACCACAGACATCACGGCATTGCCCCGTGTTTCTGGAAATGTGTCTTTCTTGACGTCACAGGACATCTGACTCAATTTCTGGGGAGGGGGCCGTTCGGTCTTCAGAATGAATGGTAGCCATGCAGGAAGATTAGCTGCTTCTGGCTCAGACCAGTCCATGCTTCTCCCATGTAGAGAGAAGCCTTTTCCTTGCCAGCCGCTTTGGTTTTTCCCCACCAGTCGCCTGGGCTCTTCCGCGTTGTAGTCCCCAAATAACACACAGGACGCTGTATTAATTATGAAGCTGTTGGCCTTGCTTGTTTCTTACTGGCTAGCTCTGACTTAAGTATTTATCCCATAATTGTTAATCTAAGTATTTCTCTTACCGGAGAAAAGTTCTGGACATCTTACTTCTCTGGCGGGCTACATCGTGACTCCCTGTGTTTCTCCTACCCAGAATCCTCCTCGACTCCTAGTCCCACCTATCTTGCTTCCCTATTGGCCAACAGTGCTTTATTGACATATACACAGGACTTCCCCATCACTCCCATTATGCCCTTCTCTCAGAAGGTACACGAGCACTGACTAGCTGACTAGCCGTGTTCCGCGTGTCCTGCAACAGGGTGATTTGTGTTAAGCTCTCCTCTTCCCGCAATGGACTGTAGCAGCGTGGTCTACCTGCTTTCCCACACAACAGTGTGGCAGTGTGAAACAGAATGAACAACATCACCATCAGCTAGCAAAGGTTCAAGGCTGGCCTCTCTACCTACAAGGGCACAAGGAAAGGAACCATAACACTTTACCTAAACTTTGTGTGAGCACCTCATATCCCTTATGGTTCCTCTGGCCAGGCATTGTGATTCTCAATGCATCATCGTTTTAAAGCTTTTTCACATAAAAAAATAATAATAATCTTATTCTCAAGGAAAAAAAACCTAGAGATAGACATCAGGTTGGCTTAGCCACAACGCAGTGGCCAAGCTAGGTGATTATGGAAATAGTTATCCTTTCGATCCGTTTTGTGGCTGGAAATTGTCCATGTGTGAGATGTCCTCTTAATTTTTTTGGGCGGGGGGGGGGGGGGGAACCACAACTGCAGCTTCTTAACTGCAGGAACTGCTTCGTTTCAGGAGAAGAAGCACATTGCTGCCTGCACCGTTGGCGCTTTCTGGGGATCAGAAATGAATTCCCCCATCTGCTCCAGAGACGACTCCAGCACAACTGGCAGCTGAAGCCAAGCCATCGCGTGTGGTGAGCAACCGCCAGTATGGCGCACTCTCCAACCCTAGGCCACCGTTATCCTCAATGCTCTGAAGTGGCATGGGTCCTTCTCTAAAATTACAAAGGAGTTGATGTTTTCACAGTAAACTACTGTTCAAACTGAAATTGTAACAGAGAAAAATGTGGTTGGAAAAAAAGCAGATGAAAGATTTCCCTACCACCAATATCTTTTTTTTTATTTTTTATTTATACACTCTTTGAGCTTATACACACGCCTACAATGCATTTTGACCATATCTACTCCCTACTAACCCCTCCGAATCCTCCCGGAACTCTCCACATTCCCCCTTCCAACGTCATATCATCTTTTTTTCCCCTTTATGCCTTTATGACCCAATGAATCCAGTTAGTGCTCCTTGTGGAGGGAACAGTATGGAGCCATTTACTGGACCATGGCAACCTGTGAGAGGCCACATTCCTTAAGAAAACTGACAATTCTTCCCCCAGAAGCCACCAAACTGCCTGGAGTTCTCAGCTAGAGCTGTGACTTCATGACCCTCCCGCCTCCATGTGGGAACAGAGTGGCTCGATCTTGTGCAGATCCCCTGCAGCCAAAACTGTTGTGAGTTCACTCACTAGCCCTGCAGCATCCAGAAGACAGTATCTGGAAACAGTTCACAGCCTCTGATTCTTTCTGCCCCCTCTTCTATAATGTTCCTAATGTTCCCGGAGTGCTGGGAGGAGGGGGGTCATATAGATGTCCCGTTTGTGGCTGGGTGCTCCACGGCAGCTTATTCTCTGGGCTTTAACTAGCTTTTCTAGTTGCCGGGGCTCATGCTGAGTGAGATGATGATGTCTTTTCTCCACTGGCAGTGCATATCACACCTAGCCAGCAGGGACAAAGCTTCCGGTCATTACCAGGTTGACTTCTCCGTGCTCTACGGATGGCCACGCACTCAAGCATATGTGGGCAACAAACTGGACTCAGCAGGTGTTGTTATTTATTGGGTTGTTGATTTATTGTTGTTTTTTTAATGAAGACACAAAATTGACTATGTATGGAAGAGAGTGAGGATCTGAGGAATGTTGGAAGAAGGGATATGATTTTTAAAAAGCCATTGTATGAAATCCTCAAAGAGTTTAAAAAGAAGCTTCTGACATGAGGTGAACGCTGTGTTAACCTACGGGTCTAAGGATAAGAATTCAGAAGGCAGTTGGATGATGTGTCTTTTTCTAGCAAAATAACAGGAGTAGGGTATGTTTGGCCACCCCAACCACAGGGTCTTGGCCAGGTTTACAGTAGCAGGTATGATCCTCTTGCATGGACTAGGCATTATATTTAATCAGAAAGTTACCCCAGAAAATTTGTCATAACTACACCAATGGGCATATCTTGCCAGGCTGGTCATTATTAGCGTTCACAAGTTAGATTGCCAAGTAAGCCCCCACCTATATCTTAATTCACTTTGTGCAAAAGAAAAAAAGGAGAGCATGTTGTAGGCAAAACTGCCCTGAGTTTTGGCTTCCAGATGGCTCTGGCCTCCGGCATGAACCCAGCTGACACCCAAGTCATGTCTATGTGTACCACATGTGCAGGACAAATGCTTGTTCACTGGTTCTACGGTGAGTTGCACATTTGAAATGTGTCAAGAGAAATAACTGGAGAAATGTGTGGAATGTTTGCTTTCAGCTATTCCTTAGGGAAGGAGTAAGAGAATTAGGTTATAACCCCGTGGAAAAGGGTTAAGCCTATGGGTCAATGGGACAGCCTGTCAGCATTGTGTACATGCATGGGTGGGCACATGCTTTGAACATTCACAAGCTGCAGAATACAATCCTACATCACAAAGGTCTGCTTTAATGGACTCTCTGGGACCTGGCAACCACCCAACATACCAAGTGAAAATTCTTATCCCGGGAAGAATTCTCCATCATCCATGGAACAAACAACACTCGGTACCACGGGTATTTCCCAGAAAGGTACTAAAGTCAATAAAAATGTATTAACTTGATAAAGCTCACCTCTTCTTTTGTGAGACATTCCAGAGCAGAGGGGTGTCTTCCTCCAAACAAAGGTCTCTTGAGCTGGCACTGAGCTGAGACAAGGCTGAGTGAGTTCTGGGAGAGACAGGGAAGGAAGCAGAGTCGCCAAGGTGACACGCTTGAGGGACGGAGTGCTCACCTCAGACACAGGTGAGATCTCCATGACCAAAGTTCTCTCTGAGCAGTGAGAGCCGGACTTAGGAGGGATGGCTACAGGGGACCACCCCCTTTCCAGCTTGGCACAGAGCAAAAGCACACAGCAATTCTCACCGAGTTCTCATCTGTTAGGTGGCTGATCCTTTGGGCGCACCTTAACAGAGGACCCAGCACTTCCCAACAGTGAAAACATTAATGTCCGATGGGTCTCTCTTTTCAGGCAGAAAAGTCTATCTCCTGAGGTCAGGATATAGTCACTTGAGACACGTCCTAGTGGCTCCCATCAGAAGTTAGGGCAAGCAAGTCAGAGAGAGATGACAATCAGAGTAGCTCCCAGGGCTTATTAGTCACGATTGAAACAAGGCACAAGTTTGCCCTAGATAGAATGCCCCTTTGCTGTGTTAGCACGTCTAGTGGAGGAAGGGCCTCCATAAAAGCACCCCCCCCAAAAAAACCAGACACTACAGCGTGTACCAACGTGCAACATGAAGTAAAAGGAGTTTTCATGGGAACTTAAAGAAGCCATTTTCCCACCTAATTGCTTTATGCGTCGGTGCAGGCCTTCTCTGATGAAGGCCTCCTCCCAAGTGGTGCGGCAGCCACCATAAAACATTCACCCCCACGGGGATAACAGTGATTTCCCCCCCCCCAGGTTATAAATGAACAAACGACACCAAAGGAGAAACTTAAGGAAAATAGTTCTGTTTGCCTGACACATGGACCATGAGACTCTTGTCTTATGGAGAACTGTGCTCTTCACCTGTGTATAACAGCACCTACCATATCTCAAGAAGCAGAAAAAGCAGTCTACATAGAACAAGGGTGTCTCTTCTTGCCCTGCACCGTTTCCTATAAAGAACAGAGATGCCCGGGAACCCTACTCAAAGGCATTGTGGAAGGCAAGGGAATGCCGGGATAGAAACCTTAAGCCGATTTCTTGACTTAGGCATACCAAAAAAGGGAAGGTAGGAGAGCTGGAGAGATTGCTCAGTGGTTAAGGACAATGACTGCTCTTTCAGAAGACCCGGATTCCATTCTTAGGAGACCCAAATGCCCTCTTCTGACCTCTGAGGGTACCAGGCATATGCATGGTACACAGACACAATCAGGCAAAACACCTATGCACACAAAACTAAGTAGGTGTTCCAAAGGAAGGCAAAGTAGAGCTCTGCCTGAGACATCTAATAACCAGCATGGTTTTGCAGCCCAAACTGCCTTAACCAGGTAGATGTGTCAGCTCCCCCATCTGCCTTAACTGACTCAGGTCTTCTGGTACGTCTGTAGAAGTGTCCCAGCGTGTCACTTAGTATCACGCTGCTCTCTGACGCTGCTGTTTACATACTATTTCTGGGAAAGTCGAGTGTTCCAAGGACCTTGTTCAAATAATCTAACTACTCTGTGCCTCTAGTTTCTCAATCACAGGTAAAGAAACGCACACATGTGCACATACACTCACACACATACACACGTAAGCATAGACATACACACACATATGTACACACACATACACACACAAACAGGCACAGACGCTTTTGTTTTGTCATCATAAGTAAGGAGATGTAAGTGAAAAGTGCATGTACCTCTCCCTATTTTGGGTAATTTGGAGACTGTAAAAGATGATAAATTAAACAACTCTACACAATTTTAGGATTCAGAGATCCTTACTGTTAATCTTTTTAAAACTCTCTTTTAGTCTTTTTTTAAAAATAGGGTGGCCTAGAATGTGTAAGGTTGCAATAGTACTGCCTTTACCAAGTCATTTCTTAAGCGGCATTTTCATTAATCTCTGAAAGTGCGTGTATTTATGCAATGCATTCTGGTTGTATCCATCCACCGCTGCCTCCCTCCAACTTCCTCTAGAGCCTTCATCTCCCTCTCCTTCCTACCTTCATGACTTCTTTTTATTTCTGTTATTAATAACCTCCTGCATCCAATGACTTCTGCCTTTATTCATGCCATCCATGGTCTCAGCAACCACCAACTGCCAATCAGCTCCTATGCCAAGAGTGGGTCCTTGGGGATGCCTCCACTGTCCATGCTGGAATTTTTACCGGCTTGATGTTGTACAGGTCTTGTGCAGGTGACCACAGCCACCGTGTTGATTTCTCCAACAGCCATGTCATATCCAGAAGTCAACTTTTCACAGCTCTCCTCCCTATCCATCCAGCTCCTGCATTCTTACCACCCTGTCATCTGCAAACGTTCCCTGAGCATGGATGGGAGTAGTTACTATAACTAGTTCATCCACAGCTAAACACGCACAGCTGCTTACACTTTGTACTTCAACGAGCTGTAATTGTCTTCATAAACCACTAACCACCGTAAAAAGAAGCTTCTCCGACCAAAGCTGAGAGAAACCCAGATCTAAGGATGAACACAGATATTTAGGAGGCAGCTCATAATGGGACCAGTTAGCATAACAGCAATGGGAACTCCCCCCATCCAGGGCCTGTGATCTCCCCAGTCATGGATTTTTGAGCAGGCTTAGAATACAAGGCATACAACCTCTCCTGTGATGCAGGCCTCAAATCCATCTGGAAAGCAGTTGATTGCTCCCGTAACAGGCATGCCACTATTGCAACAGTGGGCGCAGTTTTCAAGAAAGATCAGTATTGTAGCATGCAAGATCTACTGTCAGCTGACATTGAGCTGATCTGGACCCCCTAAATTTGGGTGTCAGTGAGGAGGCCTCAGCAATCTATGGGCCCTGGGGTAGTAGATCAGTATTTATCCCTGGCATACAAATGGACTTTGGGAGCCCATTCCACATTGAGGGATGCTCTGTCCAGCCTGGACACATGAGGGAGGACCTAGGCTCTGCCCTGGATGAAATGACAGACTGGAGATCCCCCATTGAGGGCCTCACCCTCCCTGGGGAGCAGAGTGGGGATTGGTGGGGGGATGGAGGGAGGAGGGAAGAGAGAGGGAGCTGGGATTGACATGTGAAGCAAGCTTGTTTCTAATTTAAATAAAAAAGATTTTTAAAAGACATAATTCATTCTTAAAAGAAAAAGAAGATCTACTGTCAATTGAGGCCATGGATGTCCGTCCTCCTTCCCTCCTCCCCCCCACAGCAATTCTGTATAGCACCTGCTGTCACTACATAAGCCAGTAAGCAGGGAAATGCTTTCCTGTACAGCCAAGATTGATTTCTCTATGATGACCTGCATTCAAAGTACATGGTGTCTTCAGCAATAGGGTCTTATCAACTAGCTCTAGTGGGCAACCCAGAACAATGTTGTTAGCCTGTGATATTTTTGGGTCCCTCCAAGAGCCTCCTTGAACAATAACTCAAGGGAAAATATCCTGTGACTGGCACTGAGATTTTTAGCATAATAATCCATGTCTTCTGAGAGCAGTATTGTCACATACCCATGAAGAGTTGCGGTGGAATGGTACTTTAACTATGTAAAGATGTGTCCCATGTGTTTATGTTGCAGAACATTACTTTGACTGTGTAAAGGTGGGTTGCATTTGTCTGTGCTATATTTGTTTAATGACGTAAAGATGTGTTGATTTGTCTGCCTAAAGCACATGGTTTGATCTAAAAGCTGAATGGTCCCTAACTAGGCAGTAGAGGGATAGGCAGGGCTGGAGGGTGGAGAGAATTAAGTAGGAGGAGGAATCTAGGCTGGAGAGATTGAGAGAGAGAACAAGGAAGAAAGAGAGGGAGAGACCAGAGGCCAGCCAGCCAGCCACTAGTCAGCAGGACACAGAAGAGGCAGCGAAAATAGGACCTACAGAATGAAAGGTGGACGTCCCCGAGGCAAACTGTAGATGAATAGAAACAGGATAAATTAAGTTATAACTGCTGGAGGGACAAACATAAGGTAAGGCCAAGAATTCATGACTAATATTTAGTCTCCATGTCTTTATTTGGGAGCTGGTAGGTGGCAGGTACTTCTATTCAAATTAAAACTTTATATATTATATATAATATGTGTGTGTATTGTATCTGTATTCATTTATAAGCTAGTAGATTTCCATAAGGATTCTTCATACATCCTTACATTGAATTACCCCACCCACTACCCCTTTTCTGTTCCATCTCTCTGCCCCCATTCCCCACTTTACAATGAGTACTCTCTCTCCTTAGGAAAGTAAGACATTCCAAAGCCACCATGGGTACCAGGAAACAGAGAATGCCAAACACACGACCAAACAAACCCACACTTCTTGAGCACGCGGGATGATCAGAGGCTATCTCAAGATGGCCCTCACACCCAAGCGCATCCAGCTAATCAGGAGAGGAAGTGTATCTGCCAAGCATGCCTGGAGATGCGGCTCACTTGGCAAAGCCCATGCCTTGCCCACATGGAGATCTGGGTTCAAGTCCCAGTCCTGTATCAACCAAGTGTGGTGGCATTCCCCTGTAATCCCAACACTGAGGAGGTGCAGGCAGGGAGAATTGTAAATTGCAGGTCACCCATGTCTGTATGGCAAGCTCAAAGCCAGCCTAGTATCCATGAGACCCTACCTTTCAAGAAATGGACAAAAAACTAAAGGCAACAAGTTAATTTTTTAAAAAAATGAATAAAATTAGAATATCAACAAAAGAACCTGAAATTTTCAGATAGAACCAAACAAAAATTTGGAGTTGAAAAATATAAATGGCATCTGAGTGTGTATGACGTGTGTGTGTGTACACACGTGCATGTACGCACTTGCATGCTCACCCATGTGAGTGTGTGTGGAGGCCAGAGGGGCTGATGATGTTGGAACGTCTTCCTTCGTTGCTTCTTCACCTTAAAGTTTCCCACCAAACCTGAAACTCATTTAGCTAGGCCTCCCTGGTCAGCGAGTGAGCTCCCAGGACCTGCCCACTTCTGCCCTCTAGTGTGGGGTTAGGGGACATGCCACCAGACCACCAAACCTGACTCCTCTGTGGGTGT